GACAGTACAACCACCCCTCTTTGTGAGCTTGTTGTGAGTAGCACACATTGTTCATCTTAGCACTAGGATCAGGGATTATAACTCGATTGGAAACATTCCAGACCTGACCGTTCGTTACACGACAGTGATGGACCATTTGATTCGGTTATAAAAATGAATTACGTCGTGTATAGAGCCAAGGAAGCGTAAACCAGGTAAAAAACGCTTTTCAGTGCTCCGGAGCTTCATTCGCTCTTTACGCGACGAAATTCACCATAAAATCGAATCAAATCATGTATCACTATCAATGTAGTAACTAGTTATATTCTGTTATTTGGCAGATGTAAAAAAGTAACACTTTGGAGGACAGCAGATCGAACTGATGGAAAACTACGATTAAAAATTCCGTGAGTGAGAAAGTGGAACAACGATGGTGACGAGGTTTGAGTGAGATAGGTTGACGATCTATATCATCTGGTCACCAACCTCTAAGAGAGAGAGAGAGAGAATCGAACCTGCCATCTTAGACCGCGTTAAGGCTATAGCCCATTACGACTACACCACACCACGCGTGAAGGCCCAGACGGTGCTGGAATCGAGCAATCTCCGACAGAAGAATGAATGTTTTATTGTTATTTTCATGAGTTGAATTGTACTTTTATTGCATATCAGTTGATGATGGTCAAATCACCAGGCCAAAGCATTCGAGGACATTCAGAGAGATAGGATCATGATCAGCAACGTCGGACTCAGTAATTGTGATTCCGGTTATTCAAATAAAATCTCTGCTGGATACAGAAATTCTACCATCAGAAACACTGTGGACAAGAGCAACAACAGCTGTGGAGCCTAAAAGAACCTAATCCCCCGCTGAACTAGGCAAACTGGCATATTTAAATAATAATAATAAAAGCTATTAGTTCAATCGGGATCGCAGGTTTTCGGATCCGTTCGAGATTGCCAGAGCACTGATATCATCGATGCAGACAGGAAACGAGATGCACTGAAAGACAACACAGGATCGCCAGCGAGTAGGGTTCATATGGTTAGAAGAACACCAGCCATCGATTTGTACCATCCAATCGGAACAGAGGAGCACGTTTATCACAAAAGAATCAAATACTTTATTGGGAAAAATTGTGTTGTGTTGGATAAAATCTGCGTCGAATAACTATAAAAGTTGTCTGTAACTCCCTCAGTCCCATTTCTTTGCGGCTACTGAAATAAGAACCAGTAAGTACAATATCCGTGGATAACCAAACCAGCAGCGATCTGTGGCCCAGGGGTGCTTAGAATCCGCCCACTCCAGTAATACATTATTGTACACGTATTACAAAAATGATAAACGACTTCAAATAACCATTTCTTACTTCTACTCCAGTAGGGTGGTGTTTCCCGTCGTTATTCAGCCTTCATTCATCGTCTTTGGTTTTAGCCCAGGCACAAATTGTATTTTATTGAATAGCACAAAGGTAAGTCCCAACAAACATACGGTCCGCGAATCATTGAGATTTTCCAGAGGACAGAATCAACTGATGCGAAATGTATCCTTACTTCGAGCGCAAGTGGCCTAGAAACGACTTGACACTTTGCACGGGGAAAAGGGGTTCCGATTGGCGTATGACCCGGGTTTGCTATGTAGTTAGACTAACTGACGAGTGGACGAATCGCTAGGACGGAAAAAGTCACAGCAGTTTCGCAACCCTTGGAATCATCAATCGAGAAGCGACTGAAGAGGAATTGTCGCATAAACCGCTTGCTAACAGTGCAGAAACGAACGTGCAAAACATCGAACAATCATAGAATAGGTCGGTCCCTGGATCAACTTTGATTTACATCTCGTGCACGCAACACTATGTCCTATTTGATCATACCCGTTCGGGAAATGTTTCCGTTACGGTCACATTTATTCGCATCACAAGCACCCAGACGTGTATGGGTGAAGGAGAAAACTCAGCCCATTGTGTGTGTGTGTGTGCTTAGGTGTATCGGCTATACATAGCGCACTTGCTGTATGTGTGTGCGCGTGCACGCGCGCGCCTTGAAACACAACATGGTGAGCATCAGACCAGAACAGCTCCATCTCCACCCCCGGCCCCCGCATTGCGAATGTGGACAACAATACAATGAATGCACCGAAGACATTTCCGTGAAAAAGAAACAAGATACACGAAGTGAATAAAAAAAAACAGAACAAAACAAAACAAAACAAGAGCATAGCTTTTCCGGTCAACTTACAGCTACCGCGCGAAAGTTTGATGTGCTCGTCGATGTGGATGATGATGAAGTGACCGTGTTAGAGTTCAACCGGGCTGTTGCGTCAGTTCCGTCTGTCCGAGGGATTTGAGCACCGGAAATCGCCGGTGTCGCGGAACGAGCGACTGGGAGAAGGGGGCAGGAGGATGAGGGAGGGAGGGGGGGGGGGGGCGGA